TAGAGGGAGTCACGTGAGCATATCATGCTCCTATTGGTTAGGAGGTGACACATGATGATTTGCATACGTGGGGACAGCAATGAACAAGAATAGCTAATCTTGTGAGAGGAGGTAAGTACTGTATCCAAATATAACAATATTAATCTTACTTTATACATACCCATCTCTGGAGATATGATCCTTTTCGACCAGAAGCAGGAATTTTTTCCTCACTTTTCTGCAACAAATGAGAAAGTTCTGGTACACTGAGCACCGAAGACAATAAACTACATGTTTTTTATATATTGGGAAACATCTTTTACATTACATACTGAGATACATGTAACAAGTTAACATATTGGAGAATGTTTTTATACACTAAGCACAGATATTAACAAAAACGAACACTCCCATATTAAGAGTATAATTGTACAATTAACTAGAGAAACAGTCAAGTAAGAAATTATAAGATAAATTTTTCAAGGACCCAAATAGGACAGTGCACATCTGATTATGATCTTAACTTAGTCAGAGTGACAGTTTGATAAATACTTCAGTTGGATAGAAGTAAAGAAGTATTTCTAACTACCATTGTAAATCACTCAGAATGACAATTTAACAAACATTTTTGAGGATACAAGTGAAAAATTGTTCTGTTCAACTCAGTCATTTATGTTGAATAATGAATTACACTGATGATTTAAAGAGTGATTATTACCATCTTCTTAATTAACACAGTGAAGGGTGGGCTAATGAGGTATCAACAAATGTATAGAGATCTAGATAACACATTAAGCACTGGAAGAATGATATATTCTATGTCCATTAAACCAAGCCTATATTGGAGAATTAACAATTGCTATGGTTCTTAATTTACTCTGTGTGTCTTCACAAAATTTGGCAAGCTTTTAGTAAATGTACCTGGCAACGAGCTTAATGGGACAACCATTGGAAATACTTGGACAATTGTCGGCAGATGACAGGCACAACTATAGAGCACCAGTAGCTGCTCTAGAACTCAGGTATGAAACTCAAAATCAAGCCAAAGTCTACAGGGCTAGGTTTAGGACTAGAGTCCGTGCTAAAGGGGAGAGTCTGCAAGAGCTGGCACATGATTTGGAAAATATGGCACACAAGGCTTACCCAAATGAACCACCCGATGTCCTCAAGCTGTTGCTAAGGGATCAGTTTGTAAATGCCTTGGACAGTCCACAACTAAAGATACGAGTGAAGCAAGCACACCCCTATACTATG